TCGTCTAGACACTTGAGATAGTTTCCCAGTGGAATATAAGCAAGAAAGGTAAAATGAGTGTTAAATTTGGGTCTTAAACAGCCAAGCTAGCCCCAAAGGGAAAAACCTATTCGAGACAGACTGAGTTTTATGTTGCAGGTCTGTTAAGTCATAACGTGCTTCAAGAAAGCCAGGATCCAATTGAATCAGGGATGAGGGGTCTGCTCTTCAGGGTCTGGGGCCACAAACGACTCAAACCAGGAAGACCTGCCTTCTAGTGGACGGGGTGCTGCCCCCACGTCACGTTCTGTCATAGAAAAGCAGGGTCAGCTAGGGCACTGCCCTGAAAAGGGGAAATATTCTCTCATTAGGAGAGACACTGCTTCAAGATTCTTCAGAAAAAGTAGAATGATTTCCCAGAAAAATAAGTTTATCTTTGAGTATTTTGCCCAGTACTATAAATAAATGTTGAAGAGGTTATTTCATGTAAGAAAGGCAACTTTTCCAGAAATGTGTTATCACTGATTTTTCTGGAATAACTGTGGCCAAGCCCCTTGGCATGTGACAGCAGTATGCAGTGTTGCGTCTGGGGCACGGCTCGGGGGGCACCAACAGCTTGATCTGGAGGAAGAGGATGCTCTGCGCTAGCTGCTGGCATTTACTGAGGAAGGTTCAACTGGGGACATCTCCTAGACCTGTGCCCATGTTGCCCAGAAGGCTCAGAATGAAAATGACCCACTTGTGGTGGATAACAGGTCTCTTGCTGCCAGAACACATCCTATGTCACCATATCCCTTGCCAGCACTAAAAATCATCTCCCCGGTATCCTGTGCCATGAGATTTGAAGGCTTCTGATCCCTGCTGGAGATGTTCACTCCTTCAGCAGAACTTTAAAATGAGGGAGTGACATTAATTTGAGCCTATTCTGCATGCAAAGAGTTCAAACTAAAAACTCCAAAGTCAGCCTTGCCAGAGCTTCCACCTGTCTGCAGCTCAGTGTCAGGCATGTCTCTGTGAGTGAAAGGCTCGTTCACCTGTGTGGAATCTGGCCTCACCTTCAGCACTGGTGATATACTGAGCCTGGACCCACAGCTCTTCCATATAGTCCTTGATCCTCCAGCTAAACGGGACATCATTGCAAGCATTCTCTGAAAGGTTCATGTAGTTCTGCACCAGAATGTAGGACAGGTCACTTTTAGGTCTGCAATGAGGCAAAGGAGGACAAGAGCATGGTTTGTGAGACGTGCTGAAGACACAAGGCCAGAAACTACAGGTGTCAGCTCTTTTCACCCCTCAGGCAGCTACTCGTCTGTTTCATGTTCTGTTATTAATGAACTAGATGATCTCATGTAATTCCTTTGTTTTATAGACAAAACAAAAGAAACCCCTACTTGCCCCAAATCTCTGTGGGACCAGGTCTTTTGGCCCCTGGTCCTGCCTTTCTCCTATGCCTCTGCAAACAGAGCACCACCTGCCAAAGCAAGTCTTTCTTGCATGAACACCAGCAGCACCTTGTCTTCTGAGTAAGCATTGCCACTGGCATCTCGGATTCCATTTATTTACATATCCTTTATTAACCTACATCCCTGAAATCCAAACAGGAAGCCTTGGGAGGGCAGGTGAGCTTGTATGCCGCAAGATCAAGCCAGGGACAGGTCGTGTAGCTCCCGTCATGCAATGTGGGATGGTAAAGGGAATACACGGCAAACGGCTCTCCTAAGTGCAGCTTCTCCCAAGTGCCTGGAGTTGAATCTGGCTATTTTAGCTATAACGGGTGCTCTGAAAGCAGGAATGTGGGATGGTAAAGGGAATACATGGCAAATGGCTCTCCTAAGTGCAGTTTCTCCCAAGTGCCTGGAGTTGAATCTGGCTATTTTAGCTATAACGGGTGCTCTGAAAGCAGGGAAATGAGGACAGCGAAGACACAATGGTTCTTCAGAACAGTAGTAAACTCCCTTTCGTTACTGTAATACTACAATCCTTTAAGCTGCAAAAAGAGCCAACATAAATGTCATTTTAAAGGTGACGCCATACTTCATAAAATACTTGGAAGAGCATACTGAGCACTGCTATGTTACGATTTTCTTCCCTTCCCCTATAAAAAGCTTTCTATTCACCTTGTGTTGTTCATGATGAGAGGAATGTCCAGAAGCTTAACATGCTTGAAAATAAACATCCAAAGATCTCTCGCCCAGGCTGCAGCGTCGGGCCTGGTCAGTAGCTCGAGGTTGCCATCCCTGTCGATGAAAGATATCATACTCGCCAGGAGAGGGGTGACCGCGCCTTGGACCCGCTTCCAAAGGGTTTGCCTGCAGCACAGGAGAGGGACAGAGGCCCCGTTATGCTTTAGAGTCACCACAGTGGGCACCTGCTAGCTTTTGACATTTTGTTCCTTTGTGAGCATCAACAGAACATCTAGTCTACTAGTCCCCAGACGACGGCTATGGCAATAAGTTGAAATTCTCATCACTTTTAAGTACTGGAAAAGAGACACACGAATAGAAACGGGACTTCATTCTACACCTAATGAACTGTGATTAGTTCACGGAAAAGGCACAGCAGTGTTTGCTTAGTTTTTTTATATAACTATTTTCCAGAGCAAGCCATCTAGGTTTTATAAAGAAA